GCTGATTCCAACGAGTTTAAAAATTCCACTGGGTACATTAATGCCTGATCTGTCTCAAAAATGGAATTGATGGACTCATATGTTGTATAAGTTCCTGGAAGTTGTTCCTGCATATGTAAATTCAGTTTGGCAATGCATTTGTTTTAGATACCAATATTGGTCTCTTCTATATCCATTTGTAGTTTATGTAGAGTTATCAAATTAGTATCCAGATCTTCAGTGAATTTTCCATCATTGAGATGCAAAAGTTATTTAGAAAATTCTCTGCAGATATGTCTCCCAATAGATGGATCCTCATATCCATTGAAAGGCACACCTTTTTAACATGATTATACAGTAATGATGCCTTTAGGCAGGCACAAAGTAGTCAGCAGGCAAACCAACAATCCAAAAACAATCAGCCTTTATTTATGATTTTTGCCAACAGATGATGCTACATCTAAAGGCAGAAAGTCAGATGTGGAAGAAATATACCACCCCAATATTTTGGAGTAGTATATAGCTTAGTATTGATTCTAGGATCTATGTAATACTCATACAAACTTTGGTCTAGATTGGTTTAAGAGTAAAGATTTGTATAAAGGGCAATCCAACAAGAATTGATTTTTATAAATATATATAGACAGTAGTTTAATTAAATAGTAACAAATTTGCATACAGATTTTTCATAGCACTTTTTCCAATGAACTACACCTTTTCAATTTAAAATTCAGAAAAAGTAAATTCTATTTCAGAAAAGACCAAGTGATTTTCACAAAAAGTTAACATCAATGTTGTCATTGCCAGCTCCAGCATTCTAAGCTGTGTTAGAATTTTTGAGAGTAACTGACATTAATTCATTAGCAAACTGAGGCTTAAGGCAAGTTTAAAACTTGAAAAATTAACTAGCATCTCTGGTCAAGCAACAACTGAAAGATAGCATTATAGATAAAGTTAAAAAGATGCTTGTTGATACGTAACAGAACTGTTGCCAACCAAGAGATGCCAACGAAAGTTCTGCTATATTCCAATGCAGTAGTATATAATTTTAATACTAATGTGAGGATCCGAATCCAGACTTTCAGTATATTTATATCATTTGTTCATAATATCACATCATAAATAGTTATATTTTCGTTAAATAACTGTCAACTTTTATACCTGGGAGCTAAACATCTGTTAAGTTCTCAGGCCTAATAACAACGCTTTCTCATCACCTTTTGACCTAATATCTCGATTTCAACATTACAACATTGGAACAGAACAACAAAGTGAGTCAGTCGTCGCCCTTCCCTCTTGGATTAAAGTCAGCAAAATTTTCCATGTGTCAGTGACAATTTCTGTGCTCAATCAGTACCCTATCGGATTTTTCCCATTACTTTCCATTGTGCCTAGAAGAACTTTCTTGATCCAGACCAAGCCAGCGATCAAAATCCTCACCCTCAAGATCCTAATCTCAATCTCAATCAAGATATCATAAAAGATATTTATCGACATGCGAAACTTCTGTAAACTCTCTCTCGCAGGAATCGGAAAAACCGTAATATCAAATATATCTAATATCTATCAAATCGTAGAAATGTATCAAAAAGCTAGCATATTTAAAATTGAAATATTGTATGGCCTCTCGTTACCCATTAAACAGTTGTTACATTAACCCATCTTTGAGTAAGTCACTTCCGGTGCGTTGTCTCTCCCTCCTTCCCAAATCTGATCGTTCTGTTACGCAACTGCTCGTGTGACCTATTTAACGCGGTTTCCGTGGTTATCCTGACAGGGCATCGAAGAGGTGCCGACCCTTCGGTCACAGTAAATGAACTAAGATCTAATAAATTACACACATTACAATTATCAAAAAACTTATTCTGCATTAAATTTAAAGTCAAACCTGTGATTATCAGTCACTTATTCATGATTGACATGAAGTGTACGAGGCAAATTGCATTTCATAGAAACACGTTTTTATTAAAATGTTGAGACACCTAACACAGAACTAAATGACAATACTGTCACATTTGGGAGCTAAGAAGATTTTTTGTTGGTCCACTAAGGTCCTACAAACCAAATATGCAGTAGATACAAGAAAAAAAAAATTATTTACATGTGATATGTCAATAACAAGAACAATAAAGGAAGCCAACTCTAGGACAATTACTGTGACAGTACCTGATAGTCAATTGCAGGTGGAACAATTACCAAATTTTATATACAACCACAACACACCTATATATATATATATATATAATAGTAAAAATAAAAAAAATTTTTTTATCATCTTTTGAAAGTAATTAGATTATAAAAATATTAAACAATAAATTTGACCCCTACAAATAACAAAAAAATTTTAAATTAAGTATAATTTTAGTTTGTTTCTTTTTATTTTCAAAACATTAATTTCTAACCTAATTCTCCGAAAAGAAATCACTCTATTTTAGATGACTTATTTATGATAAAGGTAGATTTGTGTGCCATCAAATAACAAATTAGATATAGCAAGAAAAAATTTCATCTAAAATTGCAATAGTGACAGTTTTCATAATAGACAAAAGCCTTAAATCATGATTTGAGAAAATTTAATTGCTCTTCCAGTCGACAAGAAAATGCATTATACAAGGTGTATTAATCATCATGTGAATGACATCTTTCTATGACAGTAAAAACATGATGGATAGTGTAATAATATTTAATGCTTTTACGTCAAACAACCGTAATTGGCACAATTAAATATGTGTTTAAATATTTTTCAAATATTCCAAATTCATTGTTAAATGTCACGAAAATATAAATAATTATCATTATCATTTGTAAATAATTTCATGCCTGACAATTTTATTAAGATTCTATCTTAATAATTAATTCAAAAATTTTATATTTGTAATGATTAAGATGTGAACAAATTTAATTATTATTTCAACTTAAAACGTTTCATTTAAGGAATGTATTAAGTGTTAGTACCTTATTGGTGAGAGTTTGAAATTTGCAAAAAGTATGGAATTTTATTTTTTAATTATAAGAATATCTTGTAAATGTTTGCTTGTATGAGATATATTCAATATATATTTTGTATGTGTAAGTAATGAATAATAATGAAGGATACATTTTCATGTATAGCTTCTGTCAAGCTTCTCAAACAAACAATGCACACTTGACATGACAATATAGAATATAGCTTTCATTGTTTAACACACTCAAAAATTTTATCTTAGATACTATTCAACTTACTTGTGTATTGTGTATCTTTCTTCATATTTAATATAATTTGTTCATTTGTCTCGGTAATAAATTTTTTAAAGACTTGTTCTTAGCCTATTCTAATTTATAAAATTATAAGAATGAATAATGTTTATCATCATAAGAATATATTGTATTCTAATATAGATTTAGTTATATATAAATTATATTAAAATGTATCAATTAATTTATTATTATTTTATTAAAAATTTAAGAAAGATACTACTGTTCATATGTATTGTTTAAGTTCAAAGGAACAAATTACAGTTATTATTTTTACCATATTAACAGAATAATTATGCATATGTTCTGATAAATTTTACTTACAAGAAAATGTAATTTGTCAAAATGTTTCTGCATTAAAATTTTTCTTTAAGTTAATTAATTGTAATTTAACTAACTAAACTAACTGTAAACATTCAATTTTATTTTCTCATCTATTCATGTATGCTATTGGTATTTTACATTTTAAATTGATTACAATACATAACAGACTGCATCTACAAATGAATGTAAGAAGAAAAAAAAGCATTCAAAACAAGGTAACAAATTTCTTTATAAATTGTAGCACAATAATAAACAACAAGAGAATAAAATCTAAAGAATGTAAAGTGCAATGATATTAAATAACTTCTTGACACTGGAGTTTCTAATGAACTTATTCTCATAATTGATTGTTGTTAATGGATGTGAAAGTCTTTTCTATCTGTCTCTGTTAGAATGGAATGTTGTGCCTTTTCTTCCATTATAACTTATTCAAGGTCAGTTCATATTTCTGACAGTTCAGTGTTTAAGATTAATGAAAAAAACTATTTTTTTTTTCTTTTGCTGTTTCTATAGACTGGCACAAACTCTCGTCTGGCAGCAGACGTACATACACATTTATAGGAGTGGTCTGTCAAATGAATCTAGCTTGAGAGGTCAGGGACACAATAAAAGTTCAGGTATTCAGTGAAGATGGTAATAAAAGCTATTAAACAAGTCCAATCCACTTTTCACCTGTATGTGTGCCCCTGCTATCCATCATTTGAGAAATGAAATGTCATTTTTTTCCATCTGTCCAACAGTACTTGAAACTATCTTCTCATTATTAATCACAGATTTTTATCAAGGGTGAAATAGGGAGAACGATTGAAGTAGATCTGAGTTTCTCCACGTAATAACAGCATTCTGTTAATATGGACGGAAAAAGTACATTCTCCGTTTCTCTGCTATAGAATTACATGTTCAAGGTCCTTTTTGACAAATTTATACAACTGCTTATCCCTTTTGGTCGTGAATGGGAAATCAACTTCTATTTTATGTCGACGTTTAATGCATAAACATGTAACACGCGAAAAAACCAATAATAAATAACTGTTGCAAATAATAAAATTTTCTCGTTTCATTTGTACATCAGAAAAAGGTTACTAATTTAAATTCAGAAAAAGAAATGGACATTTTGAATATGTTTATTAGTTTTTGTTTATATGAAATGAGAATGTTTTATTAAGTAAAAATTATTCAGCATTTTTTATTGCAAGCAGAGAATAAGTAAACTTATAAATAATATGTATATAAACAGTTTTAGAATAAAAAACTAAAGATTCAACTTTGTTGACAGTTAAATCAACATATCCTACATATACATATAATTTGTAATATATGATTTAAAAGGCAATAAAATCTCGATCACTTTGTATAATTTGAGTGGCAATGGCATCACAAACAAATATTTCTTGTTCTTAAAGTTTGTATCTGCACTGTTTTCATCACAGATATTAAGAATGTTATGTCTAACTGTAACTTACATTTCTGATTAGATGTCTCTTGTGGGGATGATGGAGTGCCTGGAGTGCTACCTGCTTTAGTAGAAGCAGGACTGGCTGTAACTTTGGTACCCAAAGCTGCAAGTGTTAGAATTGTTGTGGTCATATTCGGTGGCAATATAACCTGAAATTAAATTACATTAACCGTTAATACAAAAATGTATATTTTATATTTCAATACAAATTATGAAATCAATGCATTTCAATTATCATTTATGAACTTTATCTTAAACAAAATAATTATTTTCAATTTTTTTTTTTTTTTTAATATTTAGTAGTTCAATAAGTAANCATGTGAATGAAAGTTATTATTAAAATAAAAGTATAAGTTCTATAACTTGAATTATTGTTTTATTGTGGATAAATATGAAAACTTCTCATTGAATTCATATAAATCTTACTTTTAAGCAATGGTAATGTGTTTGCTTTCTATTATGAGTACAGTTTGAAAATTTGTCAGAACAATCATCCATAGGACTATAACGCATAAAGCCATGTTGTAAAGATTCATCTCTTTTCTTGTGCCATTTAAAGTGACGAATCATCTCTTCCTTCTTTACAAATACCTAATACAAACAGATTTTTGTTTTATTTAGTGTACATTTTAAAACATAGAACATACTGAAAATTTAAAAAATTATATAAAAACCAAGCATAAAACTAAACTAAATCATTCTTAACTACAAATTTTACTATAAAATAACAATAATTTTCATTATATCAAAAAATTAATTTTAAATGAATGTGTGTTTTATTTAAGCACAGCATTTTCAACTTTTTCATATGGTTATTTTAGAAGAATGTATTAAAAACAAGCAAATTTCTTTTTTAAACTGAAATTATAAAAAATAAATAACTTAAAAGTATAGAATATGCATTAACAGAATTCCAAAAATTAATATATTCTCATTAAGAAAAACTTTTATGTAAATTCTGAATAATTATTAATTGCTAGTTACATAGAATTGTACTATGTAAAACAAGACTATATATATGTACCAAAAAGAAATAAACAGTTGAATCATAATAAATTCTTGAATGAACAATTGTAATTCATAATTGTAAATAAGTTAAAGCTCAAGAAAAAAATTAATAAAGTGTTAAATCTGAACTAGTACCTGAAAAATAAATTAGAATCTGAAATGTTATAAATAGAAATTTTATAATGTTCTGTATACTGTCATATTTTCTCTATAAATAGTGGATTTTATAAATTGTTTGATTTTGTTTATGAATTATAAGTTATTCTGTACAAATTATAATGATTATGTTAATATATTTTTATAAATTATTTATGCAGCAGAACAATTCACTGGTTTGTTGTATAAATTTTGAGCATTGCCTTCACTGGCATGAATATAATGACAAAAAATACACTATATTTGTCAGTATAAAATGTGTAACATTACAGTATTTACAAATTTTAAATAATTTATAATTTCTTTCAAAACTAAATGTAAAACATATATTCATATGTGTAATTTTCTTAAAAATAATCTCTTGTTTTATTATTCTCAGGCAGTATATTCATCATTTATTATTTGATTTCAGTAAATACATTTTTTACATACTCAAAATAAACATTTTTCTTTATAAAAACCATTTTAGAGTTATTTACATGTACAAATGTACTGATCTTTTTCTTCCAAAAAATTTCCATGTAAAAGAGATGCTTTCATTAATTATGTATCTTACTTACTAACAAATATAGTTATTTTATAAATTATTATTTTATCATATCTGATTATAAAATTTCTAGAAATAAATAAAATATTTAATTGATTATATAAATATTTTTGATCATTTAAGATAATTTGGATTAAACAGTCATATGAAATTAAAAATTCCAAAATGTACTTTTATAAATAAGATATTTATTTCTTGAAATTTTTATTTTCAAAATTATGTCTTAATTATAAAAAACCACAACAAAAAAAAAGTCTCATAACAAAATTTAGTGAATTTTATCAAAAGAAGAAATACTATATTTATAATTATTCTATTTTTGAGAAAATTCAGTTATCTGATTATTAAAGTTATGAAAAATATAATAAATATGAAATTAATGAGAAATTAGTAGATGGAACAAAAAATACTGACTTTGGAATTACAGTCCAAGCAATGAAAATGTTCCCTATAATTTAAGTCTTTACAATAATTGCTGCCACATTCCAGAGCACTTGAAAATCTGAAATATAAGCGACAACAGCTATATGCATCATAATAGCTGATGGGAAATGCAGTGCACGTTATTGCAATCAGTTTGGTTATGAAATAAATAGCAACACTCATTACGAGATCATAACGTCAATATAAGAATTGTATTTGTTACAAAATTCTCACAACGAATAAAGCTACGAGTCGAATTTTGCATTATTATTCATAAAGATTTTTAATTTTTAAATTTAGTAGTTATGATCTTATAATGAAATGAACAAAAAATAAGAAATAGCAATGCTGTTTTGCTTATTAATGCATAACTAAAAAATAAAATAATAAATCAATTATTGATTTCTTTAGTTAGGAATGAATGAATTTGTTAAGTTGTTGCTTTGAATAAAATAAAAATTAATTATTATTATTTATAATCAACTCACCTTTTGACGTAACGAGAATAATCAATCGGTACAGGTTTCTGATCTTTAATAGCATTACTCGCATTTATTAATACTGCAAAATCAGAAAATTTGTAATTAATTAATATTATATTACTTTAAATTAAAATATAAAATTCACATCATAATTATGAGATGCTAATAAATTTTTCCAAGTAACAGTAAGAAAATGCTTCATTATAAGAATTTTAAAAATTTACTACTTGCTCTATCATTACAAATAACATCTTTCATAAACAAGAGTTTACATAATAAACAATAGAGCATTAATTTCCAGAATAGGAAATTTTTCTCACTGTTCTATAATAAAAAAAAATGCACTTTCTAATTTAAATAATTTTTTTAACTTTTAATAAGAAAATAATTTATTTATTTTTATTAAGTTATATAACAGAATATGATTAATATTTCAATTTTACACTTTAATATTTAATTTGAGTTTTTCTATTTCATATTTGTTAATTTATATTACATGCTTTTATTATATTGTATGAGTCTATTGTTATGATAATTGGAATAGTTTACTGAAACTGCACTAACAATAGAGAATTCTGCCACGATTTTTATGTGTATTTTACACACATTTTACAAATAAAAATTAATTTGTTTAGTAGACACAAAGCATTTAATTAATAAAATTCAAAATGTTTTATGCTTATTTGGTTAATATCAGTTTCAAAAATTTTAAGAATTTAATATTAACATTTAAAACTGAATTTTATGCATGTTTTTACATATATAAATTAAAAATTATACAACTTAAATATAAAATATTAACAAAATGCCCAACATTTAAAGCATTTCAATTTGAATAAATATTTCATTTCTATAGAAAAAAAAAATTATTAATTTAAACTTGTAAAAATGGAGGACTTTTATATATTTAAATCATATAAAAATAATTAAAGAATCCATAAGACACGGTTCTTAAATATATTAAAAAATATTTTTTAATTAAATCAACTTGACCAAGACCATCAATTGCAATATCCAAAACATTTTAAACATTTAAAAATCTTTATAACTTTATAGATAAATCTAGTTAAAGAAAGATTTTAATATATTCATAAAATATTGCAACTTCTAAAGTTATAGAAACCAAATGAGTATATATTGATAGTCACAAGGCCAAGACAGTTAATTTAAGGAACCAGCCTACTGATCTGAGGGAACCAAAATCAAATCAAAGCACTTGGAATTTTTCATGGAGTGTCTGTCTTGGATATATCAGATCCCATCCCGCACCACCCATTGTGGATTTGACCTAACCCGTGATAGGTACAATTAAAAGACTCTCTTAGTGCCTATAGGCAGGAGTTAAAGAAAAAAAAAATGGAATAAATTTTCATATTAAATTAAGTATATATTATATTTAAGATCAGTATAAAATATGATATTTAATAAAATATTTTATTAAACCCAATTTATTCATAGTCAGTCATTTTAAAATCACTTAATTAAAATCATTTAAAAAAAAAAACAGTTTAAATTTAAATAATGAAACAAATTATGTTATATTATAGAAAAACAAATTAAATTTTCCAACTTTTTAGAAATGCTGATTTAACTTTTGCATAATCTTCTATTACATAATATATAAAAAAAGATGTATATACATTGATATGGATTAATGAAAACATTGATTTCATTTAAGATCTAATCAATGTTTACCAATTTAAATTATAATTAATTTATCTTATCAAAATAACAAATAATAAATTCTCGTCAATATTAAGAAGTCATTCCGGTTTGATCAAAAACTTGTCTAATTTTCAACAGAAGTAGAAAATTAAAGAAATAATTAATAATTAAATTGTAAATGAATTATTATAAACACAATTCAAATTCCCTTTAAAATTTTGCAATTAATAAATATCTGCTAAGTGACTGGATAACATTTATCATTACGCCCACAACTTTCTAATGGTGGTGATAACAGAAGTCTAAACTGCAGATAAGATAGAACATGCAATGATAAACATCTTTCTAAATAGAATAGTTAACTCCTTGAAATATCTTATTCTATAAATTAGGAAAACCAAAAATATATATATATATATATATATAATAGTAAAAATAAAAAAAATTTTTTTATCATCTTTTGAAAGTAATTAGATTATAAAAATATTAAACAATAAATTTGACCCCTACAAATAACAAAAAAATTTTAAATTAAGTATAATTTTAGTTTGTTTCTTTTTATTTTCAAAACATTAATTTCTAACCTAATTCTCCGAAAAGAAATCACTCTATTTTAGATGACTTATTTATGATAAAGGTAGATTTGTGTGCCATCAAATAACAAATTAGATATAGCAAGAAAAAATTTCATCTAAAATTGCAATAGTGACAGTTTTCATAATAGACAAAAGCCTTAAATCATGATTTGAGAAAATTTAATTGCTCTTCCAGTCGACAAGAAAATGCATTATACAAGGTGTATTAATCATCATGTGAATGACATCTTTCTATGACAGTAAAAACATGATGGATAGTGTAATAATATTTAATGCTTTTACGTCAAACAACCGTAATTTGCACAATTAAATATGTGTTTAAATATTTTTCAAATATTCCAAATTCATTGTTAAATGTCACGAAAATATAAATAATTATCATTATCATTTGTAAATAATTTCATGCCTGACAATTTTATTAAGATTCTATCTTAATAATTAATTCAAAAATTTTATATTTGTAATGATTAAGATGTGAACAAATTTAATTATTATTTCAACTTAAAACGTTTCATTTAAGGAATGTATTAAGTGTTAGTACCTTATTGGTGAGAGTTTGAAATTTGCAAAAAGTATGGAATTTTATTTTTTAATTATAAGAATATCTTGTAAATGTTTGCTTGTATGAGATATATTCAATATATATTTTGTATGTGTAAGTAATGAATAATAATGAAGGATACATTTTCATGTATAGCTTCTGTCAAGCTTCTCAAACAAACAATGCACACTTGACATGACAATATAGAATATAGCTTTCATTGTTTAACACACTCAAAAATTTTATCTTAGATACTATTCAACTTACTTGTGTATTGTGTATCTTTCTTCATATTTAATATAATTTGTTCATTTGTCTCGGTAATAAATTTTTTAAAGACTTGTTCTTAGCCTATTCTAATTTATAAAATTATAAGAATGAATAATGTTTATCATCATAAGAATATATTGTATTCTAATATAGATTTAGTTATATATAAATTATATTAAAATGTATCAATTAATTTATTATTATTTTATTAAAAATTTAAGAAAGATACTACTGTTCATATGTATTGTTTAAGTTCAAAGGAACAAATTACAGTTATTATTTTTACCATATTAACAGAATAATTATGCATATGTTCTGATAAATTTTACTTACAAGAAAATGTAATTTGTCAAAATGTTTCTGCATTAAAATTTTTCTTTAAGTTAATTAATTGTAATTTAACTAACTAAACTAACTGTAAACATTCAATTTTATTTTCTCATCTATTCATGTATGCTATTGGTATTTTACATTTTAAATTGATTACAATACATAACAGACTGCATCTACAAATGAATGTAAGAAGAAAAAAAAGCATTCAAAACAAGGTAACAAATTTCTTTATAAATTGTAGCACAATAATAAACAACAAGAGAATAAAATCTAAAGAATGTAAAGTGCAATGATATTAAATAACTTCTTGACACTGGAGTTTCTAATGAACTTATTCTCATAATTGATTGTTGTTAATGGATGTGAAAGTCTTTTCTATCTGTCTCTGTTAGAATGGAATGTTGTGCCTTTTCTTCCATTATAACTTATTCAAGGTCAGTTCATATTTCTGACAGTTCAGTGTTTAAGATTAATGAAAAAAACTATTTTTTTTTTCTTTTGCTGTTTCTATAGACTGGCACAAACTCTCGTCTGGCAGCAGACGTACATACACATTTATAGGAGTGGTCTGTCAAATGAATCTAGCTTGAGAGGTCAGGGACACAATAAAAGTTCAGGTATTCAGTGAAGATGGTAATAAAAGCTATTAAACAAGTCCAATCCACTTTTCACCTGTATGTGTGCCCCTGCTATCCATCATTTGAGAAATGAAATGTCATTTTTTTCCATCTGTCCAACAGTACTTGAAACTATCTTCTCATTATTAATCACAGATTTTTATCAAGGGTGAAATAGGGAGAACGATTGAAGTAGATCTGAGTTTCTCCACGTAATAACAGCATTCTGTTAATATGGACGGAAAAAGTACATTCTCCGTTTCTCTGCTATAGAATTACACGTTCAAGGTCCTTTTTGACAAATTTATACAACTGCTTATCCCTTTTGGTCGTGAATGGGAAATCAACTTCTATTTTATGTCGACGTTTAATGCATAAACATGTAACACGCGAAAAAACCAATAATAAATAACTGTTGCAAATAATAAAATTTTCTCGTTTCATTTGTACATCAGAAAAAGGTTACTAATTTAAATTCAGAAAAAGAAATGGACATTTTGAATATGTTTATTAGTTTTTGTTTATATGAAATGAGAATGTTTTATTAAGTAAAAATTATTCAGCATTTTTTATTGCAAGCAGAGAATAAGTAAACTTATAAATAATATGTATATAAACAGTTTTAGAATAAAAAACTAAAGATTCAACTTTGTTGACAGTTAAATCAACATATCCTACATATACATATAATTTGTAATATATGATTTAAAAGGCAATAAAATCTCGATCACTTTGTATAATTTGAGTGGCAATGGCATCACAAACAAATATTTCTTGTTCTTAAAGTTTGTATCTGCACTGTTTTCATCACAGATATTAAGAATGTTATGTCTAACTGTAACTTACATTTCTGATTAGATGTCTCTTGTGGGGATGATGGAGTGCCTGGAGTGCTACCTGCTTTAGTAGAAGCAGGACTGGCTGTAACTTTGGTACCCAAAGCTGCAAGTGTTAGAATTGTTGTGGTCATATTCGGTGGCAATATAACCTGAAATTAAATTACATTAACCGTTAATACAAAAATGTATATTTTATATTTCAATACAAATTATGAAATCAATGCATTTCAATTATCATTTATGAACTTTATCCTAAACAAAATAATTATTTTCAATTTTTTTTTTTTTTTTAATATTTAGTAGTTCAATAAGTAATCTGATGATCACAATATTGTGTTTCAACGTCAATTTATTGTAATATATTTAGAAAATACGATGAATGTTTCTACTTTACCGAAGATATTAAACAGAATATACGAAGCAAATGAAGAAAAAGCAATTTTATTATAATCTTATTCATCCTTTCCTGTTTTATAATTACTATCATTTAATACGAAATACTCGGAACAGAAACATCACATAGCTGACACGTGTTGAGACAACTTGAATTTGAAAAAAGAAATTGACATTCACGTGAAACATTTGAACCATTAGACACGAACGTGAGATAACTTCTTCTGCTCTATTGGTTACTTAAGAGTCACGTGAACCAAGTTAATTTTCGAAAGAAAATAGAATTCGTTTTATTATTTTATTAAAAATATTTTAGAGATTTTGAGTAATTTTAATTTATTCCACGAAAATATCAAGCTTGAGAAAATATTTAACAATTTTTTATAAAAATTTATTTTAAAATTAATAGACACTAGATGTCGCTACTTATGATTAAAATACGAAATTTGTTAAAATTTTATTTTGAAATTAAAAAATAATTAAATTTTCATTAATAATTACATTTATATTAAAAAAAATTGTTAAAGCGTTATAAAATGTAATAATATAATATCGCTTTTTGTTTAAGTAATTTTGAAAATTAAAAGTAAAATAAATAAAGTGTGGTACATATTAAATGTTATTGAAAAAATATTAATAGCGAATTATGTAACTGATAACTGGAATATTTTTAAATAAATTTAACGTTGCGATTGGATGAATAGACATCAGATAACAATAACTATCATCTGACGTTTTCGGTTCAAGACTCATAACAAATACCCCGCAGCTTCGGCTCTTCGTTACACACGTGGATCAGAGAGGCCAAGCGCGTGTACAAGAAGCCCAGGAGCAAAACCTTAAACAATCATGCCTTTATGGCACTTTGAAGGCTGCAGGCACCACGAAATTCCTTTCCGAGTTCCTGCTCCAACCACTTTGCGTGTTACAGAAATGTGATATTAGATGTAAAGAGAAAAAAAAACTAGCTTCATAAAATATATAATAAAATTTAAAAAAAAATAATAATTAATTTATTAATTAATTAAAAGCAAGAAATCTTAAATATACCTTTGGATTCCCTATAATATTGTCGGACGGTAACTGCGACATGCTATCCACAACCGAAGATTGCAGACATTCTTCCGATTGCTGAAGGATGGATTCTTGCATGGGAGGTGATAAGCGAGAGTTTTTGCAATTTGGAGGAGAATCTTCTCTATAATGAGGTTCGGATGCTGGCATATTACTCAAAGGCACCATGTAAGGTAGATGTTGAGCCGGCATACTCTCCAATATCTTCCCTACACCCCCAAAAAAACAAAGTAAATTTAAATTATTTTCATGTTTCCATTTTCTTTGAGTTATTACTATTAATTATCATTTCAATAAAATTTTTAATTATGAAAAGAAATTTTAAACTTTTATCTAATTTGAGATATTAAAAAATGAAAAAAGAAAACAATTATTATCAAAACGTCTAAGAAATTAATTTTTTTTTCCTGTGTTCATTTTTGCCAAGCACATTTTCGTTCTCACCAATTCTCAGAACAAAAGCTTTTTTTATTTTTTTTCTTGTTGTTTTTTTAATCTTTTGGCAAAATTATCATCGTGACAAGACATGCATTATTAACCAAACGGCTTGTGGTCCACCTTATTATTCACATGGCTGCTTTTTGATATCTCGTCTCAACAAAGAAAACAATTCGGAGGGAGATGAAGAGAGAATAGAATAAAAAAGAAGAAGAAGAGAAAAAAAAGAAGAAGAAGAATCGAATATATATGTAATTATAAACGTTGTGTGTCAGTAACTCACGACAGAGTAATGTTCAGTGATGTGTTACCTACCCCAACAAATATTATCCAGTGACAGATACACATTGTTTTTCCATCACTAGATACTGGTAGCAGCACCCAGTACGTGTCTTCGTGAGTTGTCTACTGTCCACGGCATAAATTACTATGACAGTTAAAAGGGGATAAAAGTGACACACGAGTCAACAACAGATATGCTTGAGAAGTAGCGCCTCAGTCTAGTTCTCTATGTCAATCTTGAGGCGGAATTGTGGGGAAAGGGGCATTAAAAAGGGAGTAAGAGAAACAAAAAAAAATGACCTTGGTTAAATCGTCATTGAGGCTGCTGTTAAGGACGTGTTTTGAGCTTATATCAGTAAGGTCAACAGTTCATCGCATACCTGTTTTAAAAAGTCTGAATTACTCTTTATGAAAGTAGCTATAACTGGTTTTTTTTATCTTCTGTTATTTCACTTCTAAATAGCACAACTCGTTAAATAGCCACTGAGTTACGGGTTAAGAATTAGATCGATTTAAATTCTATATAATAGCATGAATTACGGCATAGGTTCATAATTGGACTTATGCATTTTCTTACTTAGCCATTGATTAGTTCTGTTGACGATAACACTCCCTTTGAAAGAGGATGGTAGAGTCGTAAAAAAATACTTATAGCTCATTGTTATTGTAGCTACTTATACTTTTAATGGAATATATAATGTTGTAAAAGTGATAACTGTATAGCTTTTTAAAAAGCGTAATTAATATTCAACTCCAAACAATCTTATACAATTTGTTGGGGTGTATTCTTACAGAACCACATCTTTCAACAGCGTATAAGAGCATGCGATTTTTTCCTCTATTTAATTCTTATTTTTTTAATGTATAAACCTTAACAGAATGAATATTAATGAATATTTTATTCGCTAATGCACAAATCTCAATCTTATCAAACCCCCAAAAAATTAAAATAAGAAAAAAAACAACCCAAAAAAAATGACTCGCCAAATTTTTTGCTAGAACGTCCATAATATATAACCAATTTTAATTTAGCAAGAGTGACGTTTGTAATTTATAAAAATTATCAAAAAAAAAAGAAAAAAATATATAATATTTTTCTTCAACCTCATAAATACGGCACATCGTGGTAATTAATCAAAGTGAACTTGATTTTTGTTAAAGGAAATCTGTAACATTAGTAAGCAGCCATGCTTTAAATCTGTACTGTTGCCTAGAATATTAAAAGAAAAAGTTATTGGCTGCATTTCGCGGAATTATATCTATAAATATGCAGATTAACATTAATAAAAATAGATTGAAGAAGTACGATAAGAATGATTTACAGTAAATAGGGTCCTATAATGATGATCAGAGCTACTTTATAGCCATTAATTTCGGATAATATGCTGAGGTATTAATCACTTCAAGAAAATAATTTTTGCAAAACTTTATGATATTTGTTTAAGAATTATTTACTAGAAAATTAATATTAAAGAAGAAGAAGAAGAAGAAAGGAAAAAAAATTGAACTTTAGAACCGTATAAAATTAAACTTAAGGGAGTATTTTATAAGAAAAAAAACACAAGCTAATTTACTTCCACTCGATAACGTTATCTCACTGAGAAATCGTAATTAATGAATAGAAATATTTAGAAAAAGAATTGTAGAAAGTCGAATGCTTTACTAGCTTATGGAAGACGAGAGGACATGGCGTTAAATTAAATAAAAAATTAAAAAGGAAAAAATGAAGCTTCAGGGTATCAAGAAAATGATTCAAGAATATATCTTTCGGTCGCATTCTTGAAAAGATGCTATAAAAATATTCTAATCCATTTCTTTAATGATCTAGAAAGATATATAGAAAATACCAAGAAGAAAGGACGTCTTGTATATAATAATTATAAAAATATTGTATGCAAATATTCAACCATAAATTTCGCATTAAACTCTACCCCTTTTACTAGATAAAGTAAGTGCCATGCCCCAACTTAGGTTGTAAAAATTGTATAATTTTCATAGCCAAGATGCTATATAATTTTTATTATAAGAACATTCATTACATGAGCTATTACTGGAAATATTTTCTGATAGAATTACACAGAAATTCATTTAGAAAAGAAGAATTAGCATATTGACAGTGAAATTTGAAGCTAGCATCAACAAAAGGAAGAAGTTGAGAAAATTCTCAAAATTTATAAGCATTAATTAATATAAATTTATATTTTCTACAACTTTAAAGTAACTTTTTTTTTAAGATTTATTTTCTAAATTTTAACTCATCCAATGAAAGAAACGAACTAAAAATGAACGTGAGCATATTTTTACATTCTATGAAGTCATTCGCTTGTTTACTCCATTTTTAACCCCCTAAAAATACAAAAAAAAGAGTGAAAAATTCTATAAATACTACCTCAATTCTGTGGGAGAAAAAAAATAATTATAGTATAAGTTAATATAATTTTCTACATAATTCTTTCCAGATGATAAGCTCTACACCTATCACCTGCTCATTCAATATTATGGAAAAAAATTGATCAAGCAGGTGATCAATCTTAACACAACGTCGAAAAAAAACCCACTTTATCAAACAAACTCCCAAAAAATCATAAGAAAATGTTGTAAAAATAATAATTAAATTTATTCATATTTAATCCCTTCTTTTTTTTATATTTTATTTTAGTCCTCCCCCCGAATCTAATCAACATTCTGTCATTTAAAAGTATATAAAAGTATATTTAAATACATTTATTTATGTAATTTTTTTAGGGGGGAGGTATCGAGTTTAATTACATTTTGATCGAGTTTTTCTATTGGTCAGTTGCCAGTTCGTTCACCCCATAAACGTTACGTTCATTACCAGAAATTGCTTTTATAGTAAATGATAATAAGATAATTTGTAGGCTGAGAAGTAATGAGATGAATCCTCTTGTTTGCAATTTTTAGAGTCAAGAGAAATTTTTTGAATCTGAAAATTGGCAAGAGTACAAAGTTTTATAATAAAACGAGTTAATTCTTTAAAGGAAACGGACTTATTTTTATAAATAAAAATAGAACGTACAGTACGTTCGTTTGTCGCATTTGAAGGAAGAACAAGAAGAAAAAATAAAAATTTTTAAAAATATAAAGAATTTTTTTCTTTTTTGTTATTTATTTTTAGTTACAAAGTAGAAGAAATATGTGGAATTGCTTTAAATCAGCGCTTTTTCTTTAGAAAAAAAAAATAAGGATTAAAAATTTTAAATTGTGTAGTTTAAAGTTCAAAAGTTTTATTTTTGGTAAATGTTTTAAATAATTCCGAGTACTAAAATGATCGCCCATTAAAAATGAATTGGTAAATTAAAAATAATTGCGGTAGTTCTAGGAGATAATTTATATATTTTCTAAGTAAAAATCTTCCTAATTTTTTGTTTTCCTTTTATTTAAATACAGTAGAACCTCTAATGATGGCCACCCTCAATAACGGCCAATTCTAAACATCGGTTATTTTTTCAGTAACGTTCTTTTAAACAAAAATGAATACAAATTAACCTTCAAACAACGACCATTTATTTACATTTTCGTCGGTGTCCGTCTTCAGAGGTTTCACTGCATTAAAATAGTATTTTCATCAGAAAAAAAATAAAAAATTAATTCAATAATTTTAAATCTTTTAAAATATTCCAGCGCATAACTAAATGGTACTTTCCCATTTTCTCAATTGCAAAAATCTGAAGGACATAAAATTATTATTTTAATAATTTCACGCATAATTTAATTATTAACGAGTTAGTCTAAAATTGAATTTATTTTATCACATTAATAAGCGCATATTTTATGCTAGAATAAATTACAAAAGTAAATAAATAACTCGTATTATTGATAAACAAACACAAAGAGTTGCGGATAAAACCAGAAATAATTTGGAAAATAATCAAAATTAATTATAATTTCACTGCATTTGTAGTTAAATTATTAATTTCGTGTCAGATTTAGATTTCGAGTAAATACATAAACAATTTTTTTTAAGGTTTCGACTTGTTTAAATCAGGAAGAAATGTCAACTAACAGATTTAAATACCCTTGAAAGAATATAGGAGGAAAAACCCGTATTTTTATTTCCTTGATATATAAATCTTTCAAAAAAGATTATTTTGATAATAATACAAACAATGAACAGATTTTTAATTAGTTATACACGGGGCCTCAAGAGCTGGGGGGCCCTAAAATTAGTACCTTTATTCTAGAACCTTTAGAGGAGATCCCTTTTACTATTTAGTGTTTTTGGGAATAAATAAAATATTCTTACCAACAAAAAATAAAACTAACATTAATTTATAGGAGTAGGAACCACTAAGGATCCATAAGTTTTCTCTGGATAGGGAAAAATCCCCAGTTCTGCCTTGGTTATACATCAAAAATAAAATTATATAACGTTATAGAAAAAAATAGCAATTTATATGCATTTAAACACGCAAAAATCTATTTTTCCTCCATTGTAAAGTGTCATTTAACATAAATTTAATAAAATATCCGTGTCACTAAAACATTATCATTACAAATTTATCCCATATGTCATCTATACATCACGTGTTTATCGGACCATAGCTCTAAACATTGTCTATGTT